CGAACGCAACGGTCCACACGGGCGTTAGGTCGTTTGTCAATACGACGACGGCCGTCCAGTTTCCACGTTTCCAGCGTATCGCTGTTTGTCACCGTCTCGTCGGCGAATCGCTCGCCGCTGAATACCGGCGCTTCTGCAGCTCGCGCGATTCATTCCGCGGACCTCGTTGCTGTTATTCAAATAAACGACAGATTGGAGGGGCACCGCGGCGCCATCGCCTCTGTTTCCCTCGTTTTCGTCGCGTTTTCGTCGGTCCAACGCGGCCGCGAGCTTTCCCCGCCAACCGTTCGTTCGAGGTTTCGAGGTTTTCGATCGTTCCGCGGACTTTAAAAAAATGTCTTCGATCGTATACACGCGGCAGACTACCAATCTTCGCCATTAAAATTAGTACTTATTTTCGTAACCACGCTAAAATCCTTTACGAATTTTTGTCCATTAACGTTTCAGAATTAATCTTTGGAAAAAGTCTTGTCACCAAAGTGATAACTATAGGGTAGCACAATCTTCACAATTACATTTTATCATGAGTAAATAAATTGCAAAGCATGAATTAGTTGGCTGGGGGTTGCGGAATCTAGCTGGATTTAGAAATTGTGAATGTTCAGTGTCCAGAAGGTGTCTGTAGAGTATTTGAGTTTAACGTTAATAATGTTCGTAACTTAGTAGGAAAAACAAAATTTGTTGGTTGGAAACATACAGTATCGAAATCAATTTTCTATTACTTTGATTTCTTATTGGAATAAAAGTCTGACTTCTACGTTACAAAACTCGATCGACATCTAAATCTGACCGATACAATGGCTATGTTTGCCAATAGAATATTATTTAACAATCACGTTCAGCGTAATTTCCAATATAAGAATACCTTAGCAATTTATTTTGGACCCCATTTAGTATGATACATTTTGCAACTTTTTGAGTGTAAAAGTTTTATACGAATTAGAATTATGTATGTTTAAAGAACCCTACAAAGGTTAAAACTTTGTCTTCAATTCCGAAGTAGAAGCATCAACAATTAGTTCAATCGTGATGTCTGCAGAGGCAATCTATTTGCATCGATGGATTTTCAAACTTATCCCCAGAAACTCGAAAGATGTCAAGCGGTGTTCCAACTAATACCACGTTTACCAAATCAATTTCTCATAAGCCGTCTAGTATGGCTGAACACACTCCGAATTATGTACCTTCCACCATCGGTGCTTCCTTCCATGTGCCTTCGTAGGTTATGAAAATACGAACAAGCCTTCGAAATGGCTTCCACTCGGTTCTCACGGATCTAAAATACCCCCAAAAATTCATTTTCGAAAGTAGAATCGCCTTTAAAAGTTCGTTCCATTCTGTCTGTTCCGACTTTGTTTGTCTCCAGGAAATTTAAAAGATATCAAACAACTATCAGATCGATCAGATCAATTTTTTAGAAACGTGGATCAACTTCAGTGGGCATAAACTCACTTTGATCAGACACCCTCCATCGTTAGTTTCTTCTCAGTGTCTTCGTAAATTACGAAAATGCATAAGAAAGTAACAACTTTTAAATTGTTTCTCAAGTACTTATCACTTATCACCAAAAAAAATCTGTTTTTTTAAATCTATACCACGTTCATCTTGCTCGTGTTCCCATGAGTACAGATAAACTCGCTCAAAATAAATGATTTTCCCTCATCGGTGCTACTTTCTAGCGTCTTCGTAAGCTACTACATCGTGTACAACTTTCAAATCCTTTCCAAAAATTTAAAACGCTCAGGTGTCCAACTTTATCCAACTCTGCTCCAAAATGTACCGCCAGAAAACCGAAATCGTTCATCGTTCGAAACCCATAACCGCGTTTGCTCGATGATGATCCCCATAAGTAGGAACTCGTTTCGAGCCTCGAGCATCTTCTCGCCATGCTTCCTTCCAAGTGTCCTCTCGATTCTTTCGTCGATCGAAACCTGCAGACACACTCGCCGCGCTGTACACCGCGCCGCTATACGCTACAATGGAGCTTCACTTTCGAAAATCAAACAGAGAGAACCCAGTCCGGCGCATCCTCGCAGCAGCACTGTTTGTACGAACGTGCAAACAATGGAACTACCCATTTCCTGTGCGAATATATCCTGACGATAGCCGACCGGTCGCAGACTTGCCGGCGGGCAAACACGCACGATGATGCGCGGACTTCTGCTCGGAAGATCGAACTATCGATCACTCTGCTTCTTGCCGCGCCACGATTACGCGTCTATCGCGCGAGATGGGATCGATCTCCCACGGAAAAGAAGCGTGTCGATCCGATAGGTCGAACGAGCCCCTTAAAGCGTCGACGATCTCGTTAATGCCGCTCGATCGTCGGGGAACGTCCAGACCAGCTGGCGATCGCTCGACGCGTGTAAACAATCGGTGCTCGCGAACAATAATGACGGGGCCTGTGCATGTGTGTGCGTGTGCGTGCGCGTGTGTGTGCCGTCTCCTCGTTAACTTTCGGCCGGGTAGGCGGCTAATTAAACGCAACGACCACTCGTTACGACTCGTAGACCCGCGAATTTCGGAGCGGCGCGCGGGCAACAGCGCCAAGTCGAAGGCGAAAAAAGTCCGTCCTCCCCGGTTCCCGGTGAATCGCGCTCGATAGATCGATCGAAGCGGTGCCCTCCCACCGGCGCGGCGGTCCGTCAGACGCACGCGAGCCACACCGCAAAAGGGTCGACCTGGGGGGAAAGAGAGAAGCGTGTGGGCGGCAGGGCGAGAGGGAGGAACGGGGGAGGTGGAAACAGGGGGGGTCCGGTGGGAGATAAAGCGATAAAGAGCAACGGCGCCGAGAGAGAAAGAGGGAGGAAAGAGAGGCGAGCCGGCGTAACAGAGAGGAGGACACCCGGCGCTGAACAGAGACGCCACGACAGCGAAGGAGTGGGGTGCCCGAGGGGAGCCAAGAGGGAACGGGAAAGGGGAAAGGGATGCTGCGTGTGTTGGCATGGACCAGTGCGTCAACGGCTGTTGCCTCACACGAACCGCCGAAATTATAGTTAGTGGCCCCCAACGGGTGTCCCGACGATACGCCTGCGACTAGCAAAACACGGCTGGCACGGGACTGCCGTGTCCAAAGTGATTCCTCCGTGTTTCCAGAGGATTCCGCACGGCCCTGTTCCTTCGGAGGAGACGTCGCGCGTGGCGGGACTCGTTCGGTAGTTTACGCGTAGACGATCCCCCGAACCGGACGACAGACGATGACGGATCTTCGGAAAAGTTCCAACGTCCCGTGGATCTCAGTGGATCTCCCGTCGACCGATCTCGTGGTGGTTCTGTTCCCAGTGATGCAAGTGCCATTTGTATAATCCGTCGGTCGCGATGGTGAACATGGTTGACCAGTGATTGTGTCTTCAATGGGATTCTTTGCGCGCTGGTACTGGATGAAAACGTTGAACTCTCGCGAACGGAACGATCGTCGAAAGCTATTCCCAACGATTATCACGAAATCTGGCCAGGAGGAGTCCCCGTCTACGCGGAGACCGGTTCGTCCTACGGTCGCGTAACGGATCGTGAAGAGTTCACTGATATCGGTAGCGATAGCTCGTGCCGCGTTAGACTATTCCCACCGGAAGTGCGACACACGGCGTCCGCCCGGTAAGAGATTTGAATGCGAAGTTAAGCGGGAATCTTAGCCGTCGCTGCCTGGCTGGGTACGTTCTTTCGCGATCGTCGAGCGACGCACCAACCCTCCTCGCTCGGTGGATGAGTCGACCGCGGTGCTCGATGACAGCGATCGAACAGATCCGCGATAAACGTCCGTCGAGTACGGGACGCCTGTTCCGCGATAATCAACCGGGATTGCTCATTACTGTCCCTCTAATCAAGCGCGTCGCGTCGAAATCACGTGTGGATAGTTAGCGATCGAGTGCCCGAACGATTCGAATTTCTCCTCCGTTGACGAGCGACGCTGCATTCTCGTGCGTGTCCGCGAGGCCTTCGATACCGAGGCCTCTCCAGCATTGACAGAGCAACGTGGCAACGTACCACGTGCAGTTTGACACGCGGTTGTACGTGCGTAGGGGCTGGGTATCCCCGTGTGGCGTGTGGGGGTTGCCTGCCGGCGGGAGTTCTTTTTCCCCTATTTTTTCCGTCCCCACCACCGCGGCCGGTCCAACCCCTCCTGGAACCACCTGGATCCGGTGTGTCAGCCCCGGTGACGTGCGCAAAAATTACTGAATGAACGGTGACGTCACTAGCCGGCCGCGTGAAAAGTGTGCGAGCCGTTCCTGTCCGTGTCAACCCATTCCGCCTCCACCCTTTCCGCCCCGTTTCTCCTCGTCCACCGTCTCCGGCAGCCCTCGTACCGCGATCACCCTGCATTCCGGGGCTGTCGCGTTGCTCCGTGCCTCGACAGACACGGTTAAAGGGCTCCGGTCGCGAGATAAAGGCTCCTGGAAGCCTTCGTTAAATGGATTAGGGGCCGAAAGGGTTGGTCGCATCAGCGACGAGACTTGGGGTTGCCGCCTCCGGTAGAGGCTCCTGGGACCGACCCTTTCCTACGACCCTGCGAATCAATTTTTCCTCCCGCGTTCGACCATCTACGGAGACCTACTGACCACGCCTGAATTTTCTTGCTTGCAGGTAGATTCAGGACGCCCCCGCTGTTCGTGGTTCGTACGGTTCCCTTCCCCGAGGCGGCCGCCTAGAATAGAAACGGTTACGCGATCGTGGCAAACTTCCTACTCCCCCGTCGATCCGGAAAGGAACGCCCGAGCCCGTCAGATGACGAAAGGGAGACTTCCAGCGAGAAGGTACCCGATGTTCTCGAAGAACCGTCGCCAAAGTTGCCCCGTAGCACGACAGCTCGACAGGCCTTAGGCACGCCGGACCAGTTGGGTAGCAGTCGCGCAACCGACACCCTCGTCCAGCGTCGGTTGCTACCATGCTGGACCGAGACGTCTGACCCAGGACACCGTCGATTCCGCTAACGATACTCCGGAGGTCCAAGCTCAGCCCGTGAACCGAATGGAAGGATGTATCATCCGGCGTTCTGACTGCCTATGGATATATTCGGCCGTTGCAACGGCGGCGGTGGCGGAAGCACAGTATCCGGAAGCGGCGCTGGCACGGTGAGGGGGTCCGGTAACGAGTCCAGCTGTGGAACGGCCAACTCTGCCACCGAGAGCGGTGGATCCAGCGGTAGGATGCAGTTGACAGGAGCCTCGGCTCCTGGCACTGCCGCCTCGCCGGAGTCGGGCGTCTCTCCCTTGACCGACGCCTACACGAAAATGACCAACGACATCCTGGCGGAGAGGACCCTGGGGGACTTCGTCAGCGAGCATCCTGGAGAACTGGTCCGAACAGGTGCGACTTCGACGCTTACCATCGCCTAGATTCGCGGTCCGTTTCGCCGAAAACTGAATTATTTGCACCGAACAGACGGCCATAACTATTGGGCCAAGTCATAATTAATTGACATCTCTTCCTTCCAATTTCACATCTTTTTTAAAAGAGCCTCAGAGCAAGGAAATAGCAATACCTTCGGGTCACCAATTTGACAAACTTTGAACACTGATAGATTTCGACACCCTTTTTACGAAAATTATAGAGTCAGACACTCAATATTTTCCATGGTATTCAGGTTTAAAGCCTTTTAGTGCCATTAAAAACACTGTTGAATGAAGGAATTGGTAATTAATATTGTGGCTTAGATGTAGTAAACCGTAGTGTTAGTGTAAATCGGGGTTCAGATCTCTCTAGTTAGACAAAATTTATTCAATTACCTGCACAAATATTTATGACAGTGTTTTGAGACATGCAGCAAGATTGCAAGGAAAATGAAAGTTTTTAAATGTAAACCAAATTTGCTTTCTAATGAAAGCACCTACTAAAGAATAAGTGCAGGTGCAATAAGACTGCATTTATTCGAGGTGTAAGATGTTTCTCGAATTTGTATTCCTTGTTTTTACAAAAAGTTCTGTACTTTTGTTCTGCTATAATTCGCTTATTTCAAACAATTACCATTCTTATAAAAAGTGACATGAATTATTTTTGTGATTTTTATACCGCAATGAAATTTAAAACGTACTCCAAATGAAAGTTCATTCACTATTTTCATATAGATGAATATAATCATATAGATAAATAAAAAGGAAAAATATGTCTGGTTGACCAGAGGATTTAAGAACACAGGTATTCTACTACTGAGCCACAATAGTAAATATCGAATTTTTTCATGGATAAAGTTCTTGAAATCAAAGATAAAAGAACAGACGTTAGAGTTGATTTTCTCTGATTGCTCTGCACTTGCCATTCGTACTCGGTCATAGTAATCGCACCTACGTTGCTAAGAAGTAATTAGAACGCATGACAATACGGATAATGGGTGATAATGCTGATCAGACGGTTAGAGCAGTTTGCCATGTTAGAAACTAGATATAGAGCGAGGTGAGAATCTCGTCAGAAAATTTGTAGGTCTGTTTCAACGACTCTAGTAAATTAGATCATTTTTAAAGTCACATCACAATCCTATGTTAAGAAGTCAAAGAAAATTTTCTAAATCTATCCAAAGCATCGTGCTGAGAAGTAGGCTCGAGTTTCAGCAACTTTAAAACGGCAACGCGAGTTTTGAACGGGTTTGAACGTGTTACAGGGTCACCCCATTTGGTGTGCAGTGTTCTGCCAGCCCACTGGCGGTCCAACAAGACGCTTCCGGTGGCTTTCAGGGTCGTGGCCCTCGGCGAAGTCGGCGATGGCACTTTGGTGACTGTTCGTGCTGGTAACGACGAGAACTGCTGTGCTGAGCTGAGAAACTCGACCGCCCTTATGAAGAATCAGGTGGCCAAGTTTAACGATCTGAGGTTCGTCGGGAGAAGCGGTAGAGGTGAGTGTACCACACGGTAGAAAATGTCAAAGACGAGTCGTGCTCGGACCGTTCGCGATCGAGAATATTCCACGGTTTATGAGTTAAAAGGATTAAGAGACACCAGGACTCGACTGCAGGGTCCTTCGAGTATCGTCCCGCGCGAAACTAGAGTCTAACTCAATATTCGGTTCACCAGTCCTGTTTGAAGAAAGGGCCGTAATCTTTGGAACGCTGCTTCCGGTAAATTAACGTTCTCAAACGACCGGAACAGCAGTTGCAGAAACTTCGTTAAACAGTCATGCGTTCCCAAAGAAACTTCCGAAGTGATCCCGCGTTTCCTCTCGTTTCTTCCCCGGTTCATTCATGAAATTGCGACGTTGTTGATCCCCGGTTGACAGACCGCGACGCGGAAGAAAACCCCGCGCTGGGGTGGAATGGAAGTCCCCGTCAAAGAATTCGGCCTCGTAGTAAGGGTAGGTCGCGGACGTCTTGAGACACCCTCGTTTTTCCTCCGTTCCTCGAGGAAAAGTGTACGGTTCTTGGGGCCGTGGGGGGTTGAAATTGGACGTTTCGCAGGGGTTGGTTGGCGACGTTGATTGGTGTGCGAGAGGACTCGAGGAGACAACGAAGACGTCTTGGAGTGGGTAATGGGTTTTATTTGTCCGCACCACCACCGAGCAACCTCCTCTTTACTTTCCTTCTTCGGTGTCTCGATTCCGGGAACAGACGCGCCGTGGAAAAGGACGCCTTCTTCGTGCCGCGCCCCTGGATACAGGGGCGGCCGATATTAATTGAGGTTTCAGTTAGCTTTTAATTAACGTTATTAGGGCCGCTATTTTCTCTAGCCTTCTCTTCCGAACTCGCGACTGCCGATTAGCTGGTCGCGACCCAGTTCTCCAGTCACCGCCGGAACTCGATTAACGCGTCTCTAGCCGCTGACGTAATATTACGTCGTGGGGGATGATTACCTTAGACGCGACACTACGTGTTTTTCTGAGGGATTTTCAAATGTCAGTGAGGTCTGTGTCAATGTTTTTGTGATCCTAATGTCTAGCACCTGCTAATGAAATTATTCTAATTAAAATTGGGCAAGTAGGGTTTATAATATTAAATCCGTGGTGAAGAATTTTTTCTCTAATTAATTTTTTCATGTACTTGTCTCTAGCGGCATTTCTAGGAACTTTGTTACCCAGGTATATGCATAACATTTTCGTAACAACTGACGTAATATTACGTCATGAGACGTGACAGATGATTATCCTAGATTCGCATTTTTCTGAGAGGTAGATTATAATCGGGGGTATATATCTCTTCATATTTCACTGAGGTCTCTATCAATATCTTTTTGTGTTCCTAATGTCTAGTACCTCCTAATAAAATTATTTCAAGTTCATTAAAATTGGACAACTAGGGTTTATAGTATTATACCCGCAGTGAAGAATTTTTTCATGTACTTGTCTCCAGCAGCATTTTTCTTGGCCTTTTTTACCCAGGATTTTGGTTCAACATGTTCGTAACAACTGACGTAATATTACGTCTAGTCATAAAACCATATATTTTTGCGAAAGATAAATGATAACTAATAAATTAGTAAATTTTTTCACATTTCACTGACATCGATATCATAATATCTTTGTGATCTCAACACCTAATAGTATTTCAAGTTAACTATAATTAGCTTTATAATACTGAATTGAATACGTAGTGAATTAGTTCTTCTATAAATATTGACTCGTTCCAGCAGCATTTTCCTTAGAATCATTGTTATTAAATAAATGTTTTAACATGTTTGTAGTTATTGACGTAATATTACGTCCCATCGTAATACGAGCAGATCTAGTAAAATTGATTTCTGCATCTTCCTAAAAATCTTCATAATGGTCTCGTTTATAACATTCCCAGTCACTGTCGTAATATTGCGTCGTTTCGTAAACCCGTAGCCATTTTACAGCCATTTCAACGTTATTTATCTTTAAGTGCCACAGTCATAGTTTTCAGTATTCTGTAATCCGTTACGCGTGTTTATCGAATCTTTTCGTCTCATTTAACGAGTTCCATCTTTCTCGTAATGTTTACACCTACGATTCGCAAGTATGGATCGTCGACATTTTATTCCCGATTAATTCGCCGCTGAATGCTAGACGGTGGAAGCATGCATGCGAGGTTAGGGTCGCGCGAGGGAAACAGGGCGTTCGAAAATCACGGAATGCCTGAATTTTCTATCCCGACGGGATGGTGAATTTTCCCTTGTAGGGCGGAGGGGGTTCACAGGGCGTCAGTCATTTGTCTGGGATTAGCTCTCAATTGTTTTCGTCGAGCGCGGAATTAACATAAGCTAGGATGAAGAATGTAAGAGAAGTGTCTCTCATCAGGATTCCTAGGACTCGACTCCTTGAATATTCCCTGGGAACCGATGCGCGCCGAACTCTAGCGAATCCTTAATGATCCTCTCGTTTGTCAAACGCGATTCCTGTGTGTGCATGTGACAGGAGGACTCGATTCCACTCGGTTTAGAGGCGGAGCTGGAATCGTTCTTGGACTCTAAAGAACATTATTATTGAGCAAGAAACCGTTTGTCGATGGTAGGCAGTGCATGATGGACAGGTTATCGAAACTCAAACGTATGGAACGATGTGTTATGAATATACAGTCTTCCCAAGTTAAACCATCAAACTATGACAGTGTGCTGTGTGAATAAACGTGAAATGAAAGTCTCAAGTCTATTATTATTAGGCAAGAAACAATGTAAAACGAGCACATTATCGAAACTCAAATATATGAAACGATGTAACATGAATATACTCTTCCCAAGTTAAAACATCAAACTATAACTAAAACATGAAAATCTTAGGTTTAAAACAGATTCGTTTAAAATTTAAAACGTGATTGACTAACATAGGTAACAATAATTTAATTGTTCACTTAAATTGTTGAGGTCAAGGTCATTTGCAGGTTACAGAACTCAGTCGTCCTTCAGCGACGATTCTGCCAAGTCACAAACTAACTATTTTTATCCGAAATAATTGCCTTTGAAATTTGTTATACTACTTACACCCGATTCGAGACATTTTTAAGCCCCCGTCGAAACAAAGTTCTGCACGAGAATAAAAAGTAAAAGAGAAATTAAACCAAAATGAAAAGCCACGAAGTTACATCGAAAATAATTAACAGAAGAATACAAAATGGAAGATGGAAATAGGTGAAACTGAGCTAGGCTTTATTTGTTCGAACCACCCGAACATGGATCATCGAGATTCGAAATCCTATTCGTTCGCACGCTATAAAAATGCACGTTTACGGGGGCATCCGGGATTGTAAAATTATTTATAGCAAGGTCGATTTCGTTGAAAACGGTGGGAAAAAAAGGAAGACTTCTCGCGTGGCGAACGGAAATTGTTTCGCCAGGCTGCGCGCGATCCCGTCGCCAGATGAGATAGGTATATTCGCGAGAGCAAAGTTGAAGGATACCCGTCTACTCCTGGCTGAAACTGTAAGCGCTCAAATGATCTATCTCGTTATAGGGCTTAGGGTTGAAGGGGTGGAAACGATCCAGTACCTTCGGGGTAGACTTCGCGGTGATGGAGCTGGCATTACAGCCGAACGTGCAGGAACGGGGCCATAGCTTATCATCGATATTACAAAGCTCTCGACTAACGTGCTTGGTTTTCCTCGAACCGAGAACACTTTTAAGTGGTCCGGACCCAGTGCTTCTTAACCCTTTTTTTTTCCTACGAATTCCACTCGATACTCGAGCAAAATTCGCGGAAACCCTTTTCCAAAACGACCCTTCAAAACAGCAGTTAAATCAATGGCGAAATGCTTTACTAAATGTTTATATTACGTGGAAAAGGATCGAGGTGTTCGCGAATTTCATTTTTTAAAGAAACTCTGGGTTCTAATAGACTTCGTTGTCCTATTTAAAGATATGTACTAGTATATATATATTCACATTATTAGAACGCACATACGGTTTCCTTAACAATCTTATAACATTCTACTCGTTGTAACCGATCGAGTGCAAAAAGTAAATGTCCCAGGAAAGAAATTAAATTAATCATACAATACAAACAATTGTTCCAATTAATTTCTAGGGGATTATATTTTATTTTACCGGGGTAGTTACCCTACTAGGAAACTAATTTTTCTACCAACAGAGAACGCGATTTCACGGTGTTGGTGGCTCGCACAATGATTTCTGTCCAACTATGTTTGACAAAAGTCGCTCGAACGTTGGCGGTGGGAGAGTGGGTGTGCGTTCGAAGGGGTGAAACAGGCGGCGTTGATTCCCGAGGACCAGGAAAGGTGGTCCTTGTCGCTGGCGGCAGTTCATCCTGACCATAATCAATTCGTTATCAGAGTACAATAGCGCATTTGCGATTCGTTTGGGGAAAATTGAAATTAATTAATTGGCTCGACAGCGGCCCCGACAGCCTACCCGCCCACACGGTAGGCCTGTGTGCATACACGTGCCGGTCCACATTTTCCCAGAGAATCGTATGCTAACGAGCATTATCAGGAAATCGATCTCAATGCACTTCCACCGCTGTCTCTCTTTTCCAATCGCACCCGGTGCCAATTCAATTTGTCCCCTTAATGTTCTTCATACACTTTTCGCCCCCCCCCCGACGATCATCATTTTCTTTCGATCGTGACGCCGCGGCCTCTAAAAGTCTACCAGCGATTTAATTTTATAGCTGCGTACCGGGAAAAACCATTCGTCGATGCTAAGAATAAAAACGGATGGGGTTTTGCTAAGGTATCGAGATTTCTGCGATTTTTCAGTAATGCGCTGATAAATCTTCTCTCTATGTTGGTCTGATGCTGATGGTGCATCCCCTCTGCTAATTCGCGAGTTAATTGTCATTTGTAAGTCGTTACAAAGCAGAGCTTCCAAACGATCCTCAGGCTGAGACAGTCGACCAGCGATAGAACCTTTGTAAATGGCACAAATGTCCCGAGCAAACTCAGCAAATTATTAGAATAACGATTAAACTCATGCAGTACTATAGAAGATGTCAATCTGGGACTTTATAATTTTTGGCTACAATTTTTTTTGTTTCTATTAGCTAGAACCTTTGTAAATGGCACAAATGTCCCAAGCAAACTCAGCAAACTATTAGAATAACGATTAAACTCTTGCAGTGCTATAGAAGATGTTGTAAATCTATGACTTCATAGTTTTTGGCTACAATTTTCTGGCTACAAAATCATTTTCATCGAAAAATAAAAAACTTATAGAATTGATCCCAAAATAATTAAAAACTATTGGAATAATTGTGGCTAAGGGAATTCATAAAAACTATTTAGAACCTATTGATAATTCTAGCTAAGAATACCTCCCTTTTTTTCGTATTATTTTTCTAAGTATGTTGTTTTCATATATGCTGTAGTATTACAAAATTTTATGTCGAGAAAACAGAGTGTGTAAGTACTTGTGTTGGATAAACGATGGTTGAGAGGGTATTATTTACTCGAAACGTTATGCTCTCGTACCTTGTAATAATATGTTATTTTAAAACGCATTCCGATTACATTTGTGTAATTTTAAAACAAGCATATTATCTACGATTAATTAGAGAAATTAATTCTGTCCATTCTGTTCCTTTGTCGAAGCTTTCTCTGTGCCTGTACCGTACACAGAGGTTTTAAATTCGTGGTCCAATTAATTTTCTTCAATATTTTGACACGCGTAGTCGGCTGAAATTAATTGAAATCTCGCTTTAATGCTGCGAAGGTCATTCATAAACACTGCTTTCGATGAATAAACGTTAATGCAACATCGTTTCTTCGTTGCAAAATTATCTAAGACATTCTTTTGGTTTTTTTAATGTACATTAAACTCATACAACAGAATATTTACAATCATCGTCGTTTGTTTCAAGCTCTTATTGCTTTTTAAACTTTCTTATTGTTTTTCTCTTTTTTGAGTAAACAATTTTTTTCTTTGATATGTATCAGTGTCTTGGAAAATATAATTGGACTTTTTATAGTAGTTCTTTGTTTCAGTTTGTTAAATGACTAAAATATTATAAATTCAACATTTCAATTTGTATATTTCTTTTAAAATCAAAGAGTCCACATATTTAAGAAAATAATACATTCTTGACGCTCATTTATCTGACAGAATCGTTCCAACAAACTTTTAGTGATTAACATTGTAAAAGCAGACTTCTGTTGTCCCTGAAATATTTAGTGAATCCAAACTATTTCCTGATTCGATGGCTGTCCACCTCGAAATTTACAAAATACCAATGCTCGAGCTTGCAAAAATAAGAGTGGCGTCGAACACCAAGGAACAGAATGTCTTCCTAAACTGGTTCTTGGAGAAAATCGAAGGAAGGTTTCGTTAGGGTGGGGTTAGGCGGGAGCGAAATAGTCAGACGACTTTTAATGGTTCCATGGCGACTGGCACCGAGGGTGATACCTACGTGTACCTACCTAACTGTGCAACCACGAACCCCCGCAATAGGTGAAAAGGTTTGCCAGGTCGTGGAGGAGGATGCCGTGACTTGCAACAAACTGACGGGATCCCCTGCTGGAAAACGAGAAGCTCGCGTGGTGAACCACCGTGTGGCCACGCTCGACACTCGCCATTATTCCCCTCCGATAGTTTCTCTCTTTCTTTCTGTCTTCCTTTCGCGTCAGTCCCGTGGACGTCGAAGGGCAGGAACTTAGGCTGTCGGGAAACCCATGATTCACTATATTTTCAATTTAAATTTAACCACAAACTTTCAGCAAACACCCTCCCCCTGTCGCAATTAATATCATCACACAGAATTAAATATTTCGTTTCTGCAAAATCGACTGTAAAGTCACAAGAATAAAGTTCCATATTATTAGAATTATTCACTATATTTACAATTTAAATTTAAGCACAAACTTGGAGAAAATCCCCTACCCCCTAAGTGGCAATTAATATCATCACACAGAATTAACTGCAGAATCGATTTTAAAGTCACACTAATAAAGTTCCATATTATTAGAATTAGTCACTATATTTTCAATTTAAATTTAAGCACAAACTTGGAGAACACACCCTCCCCCCTAAGTGGCAATCAATATCATTACACAGAATTAATTTCACTTCGAAACAATGGGATGTATTAAATTGGCTTATTTAAATCTTTCTTTCTCCTAACTCAATCATTATTTCGATACTTAAATTCGTACTTATTAATCTGACGTGGTTCTTTATGTATGGAGAACTTCGATAGAAACATTTGATAAATTATTTGTAAAGTAGTGTCATAAAAATTGGCAAAGGGAACCTTCCCAATGACGTACGATTTATTTAATCTGTAAAAGAAAGTGTTATTTTTAATATTATCGTGCAGGACTATACATTATCACCAAATCGTTAAATCGATCTGTATATCTTCTAACGCAATTTATTTCCCTCGTGGCCTAAATTATGGACAATGGTGTATATTGTTGAATTGTTTCCAAAAGTGTTATGCCTCTTTTCTATCGATTTTCTTCTGAAAACCAATAGCTTTCCAAAGAGGCAATCAATTTTGCTCGACGATACAAATCATCGGAACGTGTCGAACACGATAACAGTCCATTTTTAGCGTTTTCCGCTACGCCGGGAAGGGCGAAAAAGAGAGAGCTATTCGATCAGCGATCCACCCGGGGTGAGGAACGATGGAGGCGAGAAAAAGAGTGAAAGAGGGTGCACGTGGAATTGCGGTGAACCTCTGCGTGTGCAACCACCGTGTTCTGCGTGGCGACGCTTTTTTTTACGCAACATTGTCCGTAGTTTAACGAGCGTTTCATCGAAACAACCCCTCCTTGACTTCGAAGACACCCCATCGGTCCTGTTCTACTCAATAACGACCCTCGAAAAAAAAATTGTCTTGGACAAAACTTTGACGCATAATTACTTGGAATATATACTGCTTGGAAAGTACATAAATTTAAAATATTGCAGTCACTTTGAAACCTGGAATTTGGACTGAATTTTTTGGCCAAATTTGACCACTGTTCGATTAGTTTTTCCGTAGTAATTTCGAGTAAATTCCAAACAAACTGAATAAGTTGAATAAATGGTGATATAGTGAGCAAATCTAATAATTTCCAACCTTTCGTTACGAATTAACTTTTCCTTTTTCTATTATTACTAACTTCGTAACGTGTATCGTGCAAGTGCATATTTTCAATAGTATTAGATTACTAACATTTGCAGGCGAGTAGAATTTATCTCAGCAAATATTTTTATCGTCGACGTATTGTCCATAGCATATTCACAAACGTAGAATTTCAAACTCGTGATGTTACATGTCACAGATGGATAATATCTCAAAATCGTGAGCAATTATGTGTAATTATGATATTGTTGAAATAAACATGATACTGACTGATGGTGGAACTAGATATCTGGTATCCCCTCTTCCATTATATGCTCACTCGCGACAATTAATTGTCAATACACAGCTTTTACATTTGGTCAAATATTTTTAGAAAAGAATTGACAATTTTACAGTGAACCCTCGATTATCACTTGAAGTTTTTAAACTATTAATACCATTCAAGGTTCTCAAAAAATTCAACGAATGCTGACAAAATTTTTTATGTCAGTGTGCATCAAATAATTCATATCTTGTGTTCTAGAAACATTGTATACATTTAAATAGGGATAATATTATTTAGAATATATTTATAAATCAATCACTTTACTGTTTCTTAATTTTTTACAAAAGTCGACTCTGTTTTTTAAAAATTTTTCTTGTACGTCTTTCGAATTTCGAATTTAGTATATTTATTTTTGATAGGGGTATAGAATAAGGTGTTCACGCTATTATTACATTTTTCTCATAAGTAGTAAGTGTTAGAAAAAATAAGAAACTTATTTAGCCACATTGAACTTCTGTTACATTATTAAAAAAAAATTCTTGAGAAATATGCAAAACATTTCCTTCATTTCTGACCTTATGTTTGCGTATACATTTCTCTGTATTCATATATAACAATACAAACGACAAATATACAGATAACTAGGTGACAATAAAGCGGTTCTTTGTACTTCCACAATTTGCAATACTTCAAGAATGAGTATTTGATAAATGACAAATATTTTTTGGAAATTCCATTTTAACATTATAATAAAATCAATTTGGAAGTCGACATAAAGTCTATCCCACCCTCGTTTTATTCTAATGCTCACTACTTACGAAATAAACATTGGTTGCGAATAACAACCCTGTAGGAGGTGTGTAAAATGTAAAACAGTTTTTTTTTTTAATATAGAAGATATAGGAATATACCAAACGTCTTGTAGTTTTGTCCAGTGTTGTATAATGCGAAAGGGGGAGGTTGGTTTACGGGGTGACGCGCGTTTAACAGGGTTTTTAATATAACTTCACGCACCCGTTCACCGGGCTCGGTCGCGTCGGCTGGCCACCGTCACCGTCGACGACGCCCTCGATACATTACCGACGGTTAATTCGGTTACCACCGAGTTTCAGCCTGCTAACCACGTTTGCGAACTTCCGGCGCCGTTTCAATGCCCGCGAATCGACGACGATCCACGCGGAAGAAAAACGAGCGACGGGAGTAACGTTCCGTTCCCGTTATTTCAGGGAAGAGCTTCACGCTGACGATCACCGTGTCCACGACGCCGCCCCAAGTCGCCACGTACACCAAGGCCATCAAAGTGACCGTGGACGGGCCGCGGGAACCGCGATCCAAGACCAGTGAGTATCACTGTAAGCATTATTGTTATTATCTATTATTTATATTATACTTTGCTTAGACCGTAAGTACGCGAGATTGGCAGAACCGTCGAAATTAGGGGGCTAAACTAGGGGTTTCACGTCCTACAGAAAAATCGTCTAATACTTTTTTCTACGTACCCATCAGCCCTACTGCAGAAAAAAGTTTCATTGAAATATATTCACTATTACAGGAGTTATCACTGTTTGAAAATTGGAACATTTTTATGGAATTTTTCTAACTTTACCGGGGTCAAGGAACAACTTTTCCAATATTGTTAGAATTTGTACATATTCCTCACTAAAATAGGGGTTTGTGCCTTTCTAAACATTATAATCCTTCAATTCGTTCAGAAGTTGTGACGTTTTAAAGCTTCTCATGAAAATTTGGAGTAAATTCCTGGCTACACAATTATATATATTCATAAAGGAATTTTTTTCTCGAAAATGGTTAGGATTTCCAAGGTACGTCTATCGACAAAAACTGATTATAATTGACCCCTGCAGTAGAAAATAATTTTTCTAGAACGATTTGAAACTTTTCAATTTCGCCGTAAAATTTGGGCAAATACTCGAATTTTTTTCTCGAAAATGCGTAGGATTTCGGGGGTATGTCTATTCACCAAAAATGATTGTAATCGACCCCCGCAACCGGAAATAATTTTTTCAGAATGATTTGCAATTTTTTCCCCCCGTCGAAAAATTTCACACATTCTCGAATTTTTTTCTGGAAAGTGAGTAAGATTTCGGGGGTATGTCTATCCACCAAAAATGATTGCAATTGACTCCTGCAACCGACAATAATTTTTTCAAAATGATTTAAAAAATTTTTTTTCGCCGAAAAATTTTAGCACCTACCTGATTTTTTTTCTCGAAAATGGGTAGGTTTTCGGAGGTTCGCGTATTCACCAAAAATGATTGGAATTGACTCCTGCAACCGGAAATAATTTTTTCAGAATGATTTGCAATTTTTTTTCCCCGTCGAAAAATTTCACACATTCTCGAATTTTTTTCTGGAAAATGAGTAGGATTTCGAGGGTATGTCTATTGACCAAAACTGATTGGAATTGACTCCTGCAACCGACAATAATTTTTTCAAAATGATTTGAGACTTTTCAATTTCGCCGAAAAAAGGCACCTACTTGAATTTTTCTCTCGAAACTGAATAGGATTTTGAGGGTATGTCTATTGACTCGTTAACGAAGCCTCTGTCAAGAAATTGATATTCTTAATTTTCGTCTTATTTTATAAATTTTCCCCAGGGATGACTGAATACCCTGTATATACTTTCAACAAATGAAATAAAAAAAGAAGTGATTTGTCCCCTTAAAATTTGGAACGAAGAGAGAACATCGATGTCCTCGAACCCTCTGCCAATTAATTATCGAATTGTTCGAATGTCATAAGTACTATGTATAGCAACAGTCCCGTCGGTGGTGCGAGCGCGTAACTCCTTGGCGAACGCCGCGCCCCAGGAGGCATTCAAAGCCGCAAGTTTGAAATGGCCCGGAGCGTGTGGTTCCCGCCGGTCGGCCGTTACACCTAGCCGGCTAAGTTTCGCGCAATTGCCATTATTTATAACCGCTGCCGGCCGCCATAACATTGATAAAGGGCTGCGGCGTTCAGCCGCGGAGATATTGTGCTGCGAGGGCGACGCCTACGAAGTTTCCCGGTTGCATCTCGAGCTGGCCGACGGTTTCTCCGCGGCTATACCGCCGCTGGGACATACAATTACCGAGGTTCCCAGTTATTTGCTCGGTTTGCGACCATCGACGTCTGCGTACCGAGTTTCACCCCGCCGCGTTACTCGATTCGACTGTACATTCAAGATCTTGGAGAGAAAAGTCCCCAGATATGGGCAAACAGCTTCCCCAATTTTGCAATCTACCTCAAATAATTAATGACATTATTTCTCAGCGTGTGTATCCCTGTTTAAAGCTTTTAAATGTAAATGTCGTTCCTCAACTCAACTACTCTTATTGAACCAAAGATTTCTATACTTTAGAAACAGTTAGTAAATAAACGATGGCCAGCTGGAAATTGTAATATAAAAATTGACTAAAAACTTTTTTTATTCCGAAAAAATCGAGGTCGCCTTTGTCTTTTTCTTCGTGTTACTGTAGCTTCTGTCATGACAAACTCCACAATCATATACCATGACCTTCAAATGACTTTGAAGGAAAGAAAGTAAAATCAATGACGTTTGAAATTGTTACGTACACTTTGAATCATATTAAATGTTCAAAGGGTAGTCTGCTTCATTTTATTTATGTATTTTATTCTACCTCCAAAGGAGATTATTCTGCGAAATTAACCAGCGTTGAGAATCCTATCTTACTCAAATATAACGCATCAAAGACGAGGATAAGCTTGAGTTAAAAGAGTAGAAAGGTGGGGAATAACTGGAGTAAGGAACAGGAGACAGGTAGAAGTAGAAAATAAAGGATTTAAAAGGATGATAAATGGTGTTATTACAAAGCTGATAGTGCTAATATCGTCTCATTTCCAGCAAATTTTTGGGTCCAAAATCAAGTTTATCCTTATTATCATCGAGATCAGAATAATCATTAAAAGAGAAACTAATTGGAAAATGATGAGTCTATCAATATTATTGGGTAGAAAAAACCTGTGCTCTCGGAGTACTTTTTGGCAGCAATTTATAGTGTCACTCTTCGAAACGGCGCCAATATTTAAAATTGTATAATGGATGAAACAACGCCAGAAATCTGGCGATTTCTCCACCATAATTTTTACGTGCCAAAAATATCCAATACGTTCTGCTAACCTATACACAGGGATGTTGGCAGATTGCGACCGCATCCGCTGGTCTGTTTGGACCACCCACGAAATTTTCATCATAAAAGATCCTCCATAGCGTGAATTTAAAAATGGTGATACAACCAATATCCAAATTACCGTTCGCCAAATCCTATCGAAGGATCTTACAAATCGGAGCTTCTCGATCTTCTCGAAAAGCGACACAGTGAGTTCTTTGCAACCAAAGGTAAAATTTGTAAGAATATTTTATTATTCATAGTATCTTACGCTTCGTTTCCATTTTTGAATAAATTGATGTGTTTTGAAGCATTTAATATATAAATTAATCTCGTTGAATGGAGAATTAGTTTATGGGAAATGTGATTTATCAATTTAATAACAGGTGCTCACAGAAATTAATTTTCAGAACGTAACGTTAAAGAAAATAGATCTAGATGAGATCTTTTCAAAAGTAATTATGCATAGTTGATGCTGGATTCTTCAGGGGTCAAATGTCACAATGATATCGGTTGTAACGGAACCATGAGACGCAACATTTCCCTTTACCTTCGATCCGAATGATCTGAACGGGTTGACAGTCCACGAGCTAGGATGTCGCGGTGTTTTAAAATAGGCGGCGCGTTACATGTTCTACGAAAGCAAACAATTTCCCCGAAATAAAAGGAACCGGCGACAAGTCGAAGGGAAGCGGCGCGAGATAAAAGGGCAACGAGTCACGGGTGGTCGATCGGCGCTCCTTTAAACTTGCTGCTTCCTCGTCTTTGAGCCCTAATTTTACTACGCTTACATCCTCTAAAACCATCACGCTATCCCAACACACAATTAACCTCCCCTGCCATTTAAAATTCTTGTCTATCGGAGCCGCCCAATTTCTTACTCGTTTCACGGAATCTAGCCGGAATATAACTTTACAAGATGGATGCAATTGAAAATTAATCAAGACGAATATATTTCATTATAGAAAATTATCTAACATTGGTGACATAATATTAATTTATGGAATAAAACATAGGCACTGATATATTTTCAGTTTCAAATTTTTATTACGTTCACTTTTCAATTTCAATATTAGACAAAGAGTGGTGGAAAAAGGTATGCTTGGATTCTTATGCATCGAGCAGTTTTCTGATAGATTTGAATATTTGTTATTGTCGATGATATTGTTTATCGATACTAATTTTGCAACACCAGTGCTCGAAATGCAGCCTTAGATTCTGTATTTAGTTTTAAGGGGTTTCGTGAATCTAATGATTGATGATGAAAAATAATGTATCATTATGTGTGGTTGTTTTTATTACGTCTTTACAAATTTTGCCTTGTTTAGAAATTCATTAGGTAAATTATATAAAAATATATTTTGGAACGTTCTGTATCCAGTAATAGCCCAAATAATCAAGTTTTCAGAGCAACTTTCGTAGAATACAATGTAAAGTGAATAACAAATATACTTTTCTAAGATTTCAAAATTCTTATATAAGAAACATAAACATATAAAAAATGTTTCCCTTCTGGAAAACCTTGATTTGTCAAGCACAACGCGTGTCCAATTCTTCACGAACTATAAAGATTCTGACGTACACCAAGCACCTGAAATCTGTGAAAATGTAATTATTTTATGAATTTCTCGTTAATTATGTTAACCCGTGTAGTCTACGTAGCCTATAGATAAATATAGTAGCTCTACGACCCTGCAGCGACCACGAACTTTAATTAAGATGGACGGCGAAACACTTCCTGCGACCTCTTCGTAAAAATTTGATCGAACAACCTAAAGAAACCTAGGGAAAAGTGGAGAAAGAATATAATTGATAGGGCTCTTTGTGCAGCTGTTGTCCTCTATCGGATGAACGAAACTCTGCTCTACCCTTCTTCGTCGAGAGATAAATCAGTCCTATGAGATGCGTACTGGCTTCCAAATGGGCCTAGGAAACGATCTCCGATGGCGGAACGAAAGGACTCCCAGTCCGTGCTCCCGGCGTCGCTCGAGGGTCGTAATTAATTAAACAAGCAATTCATTACACATTCTACCCTCGTCCCGCAGCCGAAGGTGGCCGCAGAAAGGATGCAAGGCTAAGGAAATTGATCGAGAGAGGTTCTCGCGGATATCTGGCTCCGGGCGGAAGTTCGAAACCCCGGGTTCCGGAGTCGAACACCTTCGATGGGCAACAGAACCACGTCCGCTTTGTCGGGAGAAAAGGTCGAAAATGGTATGGGCATTCAGCGTGTCGGGGAGGGTCGATTCCGTGGGGACGGAACGAAATGAGGAGCTGTCGCTGGCAGCTGGTAACTCTCGAGAAATTCCCTGGCAGTCACCCTGCACGCGTAAAGGGGTTGTCCAATGAAATCGATAAGGGAGGTAACGACCCACGAGGAGGTCCGAGTAACTTAACCCCCCCCCCGTCGCCACCGAAAAATCTGTCGGTGTGGTCGCTTTAGAAGTCGGCGGTTAGGCGCGATCGTCTGCCAGGTAGAATAGATTAACCCTTTACGACAATAGGTCGTCGATGATTGGATCCCATATCTTGTAATGTTTGGTTTCAGTCTGACAACGGTGAAGAATTTTTTGAACCTTTTTTATCTGAGGTCTTTATAGATTTTAACGGAACCTGGAGAGTCTGTAACGAGGATTAACCCCTTATGTAAACCCCTATAATGTTTCGTTTTAGTTTAATGAGGAGGAAGAATTTTTGAAATCTTTCCAAACTCCAACAAATTTATACTCAAGTCATTGTCACATTTCCAACTCTCATTTTGCATTAAATGCTCACTTCTCAGATTTTAGTACAATTTTATGGTTCTAAAATCTGGGTGATCGTACATACTAACCACAAAAGCACTCATCCAACATTCTCAAACCCTCTCGATCGAAAGACCAATTCCACTATCAATGTTCCATAGTGTTCAATTATTCAGAAACCTTTCATAAACCTACCAAAGACTCATCCAACATTCTGAAATCCTATCAAGCCCTGACAGGTGTCAATCGAAAGACCAATGCAGTCATACAGTCCAAAAGATTCGTTACAAATCCATCTCCAACTGCCTGTCAATCTCTGACCAACCTCGACAAACACTCATATCATTCTCCGTTCACGGAGACATCCAAGGTTGACACGACGAGTTCGCGGGCTGAAACCCCACCAATAATCTATCAAATGAAACCGATGGCCAACAAGACCGAACCGGGAGCTGGACGTAAGGAAGTCGTTGGCAAATTTCTTCAGGATCGGCGCAAAGCGTACGGAATCGCCGGTCGTTTAAACGAGATCTCGTTAGCCCCGGGTCCCGGTCTGTATTCCGGCGTCGCGCCCCCATTGTGTCCCCAGGATCGAGCAGCAGCCGTACCCTATTCAGCAAACCGGCGGGAATTTCGGGTTGCCGAGTTAGAATTAGGGCTTCGATTGGATTATCAGGACGGCGGGGGTCTGGCTGTTAGCCTGGCTCCTCTCTCCGTCTCTCTGGCTCTCGGTCCCTCCTGGCTTTGGTCTCCAGTGCCTTCCGTGGCAGTGTTGGTTCGTAGATTTCGACGGTTCGGGAAGAGGGTAGGAGGGTTGCTTCGGCCGCTTACGTACAGAAGGGAGGGGGAGGAGCGGGTACAGAGGACCTGGCCTAACCTGACCAACAGTTGGGGTGGCAGGCAGCCTCGTCAGATAGGACCGTCGCCTGTTGGGACGTCTTTAATTGGGTTGGCGACACCGTACCCGGAAAATAAAATGAATCGGTGCCACTGCGTGTCTCTTCTGTGCTCCCTCTTCCATGTCCAGCCAGTCGTTTAGTTTCACCCGTTCGAGCCTGCATGGCCTCGTCGACGCCCCGGAGAAAATAAAACCCAGTCGCCCGCAGGGAACGACGGGGACATTTTCGGGCCGTCTTTGACGACGATGGTCCTCGTAGAATTTCGGGACGCCGAGCACCGAAGATGCGTCTGGTGATCGACGAGGTAGCCAAAGTCGGCAAAGGTATCCCGCGCGAGATTAAATTGAGATCTTCGGACAACCGGGGGAGGGATCGAGGGCTGAGGAACAGTTAGCAGTAATGGGAAGTTCACACGAGTAATTCCAAGTTCAGAGAAACTCCGCGTTCAGGGACTTCTCGCGAGATTGGATGCGATGCATCAATAACAGATATCGAAGACCAGGATCAGTGATCGATGAGACGATGGGGTCTCGAATGGGATTTTAGATGTTAGCCAATTTTCATCTGGTCGAAACTTTAACCAGACAGCAAGAATATTAATTGTTTTGTCCACGATCGACATTTAGTCGCTGTTAGGATCTCTGGATTACGTATAAGTGAACATGTGTAATAGTCGAAAAGATTTTATAGTTTCTTGCTAAAAAATTTTCAAAAATGGCCCACAAATACTCGTTTACTAAAATATTCATAAAAAAAATAAATCTTGCATCACAATTTATATTTCCAGAGGAATAAATTTAATGACATTCCTATCTGAACAATTTCAGGATTATGATTTTTCAGATTCTTTGCCCTATCGAAATTGCGTTTGAAAAAATGTGAAATAAAGCTTCGAAATTGTAGTATCGTCTAAGTTAGGCAGACATTATGAGCATAGATATTGCATGGTAGCGTCGTTGGGCGCTGCAGTTAACCGGGCTTTCGAAATTCGTGACAAGGGTTGATTTTGTTACGAACCCATCAATTTCTGAGCGTTGCAAAGTGTCACGAGGGCGATTGATGCTAGGTACCGGAAGTCCAGTGGACAGGCGCACGGTTGATCGCAGTGTTGTCTCTTTTAGGGCAGCAGCAGCAGTTTCATGCGTTCGCGTTTGCCTCCCAGAGGGGTGGACCGTTTTTCGCTTCGCCGCTGGTGGACCCGTTGCAACCCTTGCCGAATCCCCTTCAGCCGTTGCCGAATCCGCTGCAGCCGAGGGATCCGTTGTCGTCATTTAGGCACGCGATGCCAGGCAACTGCCAAAGTAAGTATTTTCGATGATTCGTCAACCGTGTTAATTTTTAATCCGTCAGACTTTCCCGATCCTCTAAACTTCCAGACAGACGTCGCTTAAAATAGTCATTTTCAACGTAACAGTAATTTTTCGTGAGAAACCAGTTGCAAAATTTTGGCGCGAACAGAAGACTCTTGAAAAATATTATATTTGACGACTTTTAATACCTGATTAACCTCTGATCCCTTAACGCTCACGCCTGAGTCAGACTCGAGTAGCGATAGACCGTTTAAGAGATACAACAACGCAATTAACAGGAACCACATTGTTATGTGGCCTCTGAATAAATGCAATACAGAAAACTGATCGTTCTTGGCGGAATAGGCCGACAAAACGTGAGCGTCGAGGGGTTAATTTAATAATAAATGATTATTACGAATCTGTTTAATTCTATTATGCCTGATGGTTAGGTCGATTTTCGCTCGATTGTCTCGGTACTTTCCAATTAAAATAATTTGATCAAACAGGAGTATATTGGTCCCATTAATTTTAACTGATCGAGCATAGAAATTAGATGATGCAAAAACAAACGTAAAAAGATTATTTTCAATTGCCTTAACTGTGTGTTTCTGTATTTAAAACAAAGCACTTGATGAAGTTACTAACCACTGAACAGTTAGTTATAAATCGTTACGTATTTAAAGAAAAATTAATCCAAACGAGCAGGTTTCCCAGTTAAAAAAAAAATTATCCAAGATTATAGCTATTCTGGATTCGTTTATCATGTTTCTCGAGATATTTTTTACAATTCGCGTTTGTTTTGGGGCTCGACTCTCCAGGAAGCGTGAAATTATCCAAGATTCTCGTTTCCAGAAGTCCGCAAAGCGATAGCCCCGGCCGTTTTCAAAATTAAATTCATTCCTGATACAGTAAGAAGCGCTTTCCTGGAAGCTCGGGAATATTTCCAAGCGCAGACATTGCCGGCCTCTGTTGGATACAGGCAGAGCTTTCGGATAGGCTTGCGAGCCAGCTTCTCGACTCCAGAGGCGGAAACCGCAAGCCTGTTCAAAGCTAGATTAAATATTATATTAAAGGGGTTGCCACGGAAGCGGCGGCGAGCTTGTTGGGGGGTGGCTCGTCGTTTCGGGGTGGTAACCCCCTGATTCTCTGTACGTTTGCAACCGGATTCGTAGATTTTCGCGTGCAACACCACGCTCTTGCAGCCACGACCCTTCGAGAAAAATTTGGTGCTTTTTTAAGATCTCGACTCGGAGTTTTCGCCCTGATTCTACCGAACTCGTGACTTTAAACCACATTTCACATTTTACCAACCATATAACTTCTATTGGAATTATCTAACCTCCCAAGTAGAAGAAAAAACTAAATTTTTGCACTGTTTGTTAGTATTAAATATATTAAAATTGCAATCTTCATTATTATCGACGCATTTTTCAACGCAAATAAAGACACTCGTTTGTAAAACATTTTTTACGCACGTGACGTGATTAGTAGAATATTTTCACATAACCTTTTGGTTGAGTTTACTCAATCAAATAAATTATTTAATTAATTATTTGGTGATTAAAATATTTAATTTCAGTTTGAAATTGGGCTTCCAATATTTCGTTAATATTTCTGTTAAAAAATGAGCTATATATTCTAACTCTGTGATTGAATTATACATCTGTAGTTTTGGAATTATAGCATCTTTATTTCGTATTTTTTTGAAATTCCGTTTATTTTACGATTTATTTTATACTATATACATATAGATATGATGAGCTATTAAAAAACATTTTAAACGAAAATGTAACATGTTTACATGTCATTAAACGATGATTAAAAATCGAATAATTTAAGTAAGTTACTTGAAAATATTTTATAATTTCTTATAAAATAGTTAAGCTTTCCGAACGTATAGAGAAACATTTTCTAACTTTTTCGATCTTACATCGCGGCTAAATTCTCTAATTTCTACAGCAAGTCGATTCGACGCTTGGAATTTTGGGGGCCCTGAAAAGTAATCGAAATATGTTGCCGTTGAAGTTGGTATCGTGCATGGAAGTTGTTGATTGGTTAATGAATCCTCGCAACTTTCGGGAATCATCGTGCGCCGCGGTTCGCTTATAAATTCTCCCACGTGGAATTTATTATCTTCTCGCGAAAGAAACCTACGCGCGGAACATACACGAGAGCCGTTTTAATGAGTCGCCTTCTGATCTGAACGCGATAACGCGGGAAATTCCTCGATAAAGTATCAAGCATGCAGAGTATTTCCTTTATTAACGTTTTTCACCACATCGAACATCGATAATTCGCGTTCGTATCTCTCTGGCCGTGTAACCGGTCGAGTCTCGGACATCTTGCTATAAATTTTGCGATATTGGTCAGCATCGTTCGTCCACTGGTCAGATTTATTCCCATCGATGGGTATTTTTAACACGTCGTTTTCTACGAGATCATTCTAATTTTAGATTACTTTAAACAACGTGAAATGGAATTATGCTAGTGCAAATGTTAATCGTGGTAGTGAAAGAAACCACTGCTGAAGAAGAAGAGATTATACTAAATCTACATAGAATATTTGGAAATTTTTGGAAATCTTTTTTGTTGCTGAAATCACATTGAATTTTAAGATTGAACCCTCTTCTTTGCAGTAGCTTCCCTAAAAAATAGTTTGTGATTTTTTTTCTTGAGGTTATTCCAGCTTGAATTAGGCGTACACATTAAGAACAACGCCTGCTATATTAGCAAAAATTAAAACATTCATTACCGTTAAAAATTGTCGTCATTATTTTTGTACTGTTATTGAAATCTATGTTGAATTTAGAAATTCGTTGAATTTGTCTCATATTTCAGAAAATACCATTTTCATTTTTCCCCCAAAAAAATCTTTAAAACGACCTCATAAAGGTTGCTTACGAAGTTATAGCAGTTGAAAGATTGTGAGCGTTCAAACTCGATTTTCTCGAGAAGTAAATCTCGAGTCTATTATATGGATCTACTACCCTATCAAATTTCATTAAAATTATTAAGAGTTTGACTTAATTCGACATCAAACGAAACTCAATTTATATAATTTTTCCCTGTCTCCCTTTAAAGCTGTAATTCGACCTAGTTGCGTCAGGCGATCTATAGACACCCAATTTAATTCCCTTCGAGACGTCTCGATTTGTCAAGAAGCAGTCCCCGAAACCGTCCTTTCCAATCAATTAATCCCATCTTTCTCTTTCGTGCGAACACACTCCGAAGAGACACCTGAAATTAATCTGAAAATTTGAAAACGGCGAAAGCTCCTTCGACGATCGGTCGGGAAGCCAGGGTGAAAATTGAACGACGCGAAAGCATGCCGTGTTGCAGTATTTAGGGTTAGGCTCTCCTCGACACGGCGGACCGGTGGCTCTGGTCGAGAGCCGGAGCTTGGTTATTTGAGTTGGCCAGAGCCACGCGGGGATGACCAACCCTTTGATCTCGAGCGCGGCCGCCCTCCGTTTTCTGTCCGGCTGCACCCCGCCTCGCGAACCGTGTCCGACCTTTCTGCCTTCAGTCCCGCAACTCGTTGGAAAATCTATCGGGGGATACGCTGCCTATACGCCGCAAAAATAAATCCGTCGACGGGGGCCGCGCGCGAAAGAAACGGTCCATCGATGTACAAAGTGATTTAGATCGACGAGAATCGTCGTGCTCGTTCGCCACCGCAACAATCGTCCTTGTACGTCCATTTTTCAACACCCCGCGCAAAGGACGTTCCTCTTCTCACCGTTCTGGGAAGAATCTAATTTTTCTTAGGAAGGGTTGCTCTAATCTAGAATACTTTTCTGTGTGCACAGGTTTAGAAATTGTAAAATCTCTTTCAAATCTAAAATACAGGGTGTTACGCATTTTTCCGTACACACTTCAGCTGTGTGTTCTTCGAGCAAAAATAAGAATAAAGTGTGATATAATAAAATATTCATAAATGCTTTGTTTGTTCTTTCATTTACTAAACAAGCAAATTTACTAAAATTTTGTTTAATTGGAGCAACTGTTGAGGCACGAAAAAATATTTTTGACGTAGAATTATGTGAATAACTTGAACATTTCTTTATCAGAATTCAGTTTCTATCGTTTATCTTGGGTGCTGAAATATTCTTTCTTCGATGATAACTATTGTTCAAGTTTATATTCAAGTAAATTGCAAAGAAACTCACGATATCAAATACTTGCAAAAGATTGATTTTCTTTTATTATAAATTTTTCTCATTTTAATGTCCAGAATCTCAACCGAGTTTCACAGTACATATTTGTGTTATAATTTCTTAACAAAGCATTTATGGATTTTCTGTTGTATGACATTTTAGTCTCAGTTTTACTTGTAGAACATACTGCTAAAGCATGTACAGAAAAATGTGTAATATCCTGTATAAGACACAGTTTAACATCCTTGCTTTACGATCATACAATAACTGTTTGCTTTAAAGATCGCCTAAAAAGATCGTTACCTAAAAATTATACTGCTTGGAGAATGACTATACGAGAAACAGTATAACATCCTTGCTCTACTATTATACAATAACTGTTTGCTTTAAAGATCGCCTAAAAAGATCGTTACCTAAAAATTATACTGCTTGGAGAATGACTATACGAGAAACAGTTTAACATCGTTGCTCTACCATTATACGATAATTGTTAATTTTACAAGTCGCTTATAATTAACACTACCAAATCGTGAATAATTTCTTAAAGTGTTAAGAATTGCGATATCGTGATGTGCGAGCGTGAGATCTCTTCAGACATGTCGCAGTTCGGTTTGACTGCGAGCAATTCATGGGGATACGGAAGCACGGCCGGTTACGCTGGTTATCTTCCCGGTCCTTTGTCGTCGTGCGCTGCACAGGCGTCGTTCCCACCCCCGCCGCCGCCACCGCCGCCACCGCCGCCGCCGTCATCGTCGTTGGCGTCTTTCGCGGGTACGGCGTCCATGAACACACCGACGGCGCCGGATTCGACAGCGGGCTCCACCGTCACTTCCGGCACCGGCGCGGGATCCACGGCACAGCAGGACGCGTTCTCAGCGGTGTCTTCCCGTAAGTCTCATCACTTCATCGTTCTCTCCTGTAATTGGTCATTCCGACGAACCCGTTAACCGCCAACGGTGCCCGAACGATCGGTTCTAACGCGCTGACACTGCCGCGTCAGCTCCCCATTTTTACAGGCCGTCTCGACATTTGTCCAAATCGTGCCGCGAAACTTACGAGCGTTCGATAATTCAGTGGCAAGATGATTGTTTTACATTTCTATTTAAAACGTTGTTTACCATTTTACGAGCGTCAGGGTTCTTTCATTTTAAACGATTTTGAAACACATTGCAAGTTTTAATGTCACGGTTTATAAGAAACTACGAATCGCAGGGAATAAACTTACACCACTTTCAAAATAAATGATCGTGCAATTCCAGTTAATAACTTTCAATTGCGTGGAACAAGCGAATATTTTAAAATTTGAATTATAAAAAGTATATGAATAAAAAGTTTGCATTATACAAGGTGTTCGGCCACCCTTGGGAAAAATTTTAATGGGAGATTCTAGAGGGAAAAATAAGACGAAAATCAAGAATATCAATTTGTTGATTGAGGCTTCCTTAAAAAGTTATTAAAAAATTAAATTGAAAAATTTGAAATCATTCTGGAAAAATTATTTTCAATTGCAGGGATCAATTACAATCATTTTTGTTGAATAGACACACCCCCGAATTCCTACGCACTTCCGAGAAAAAAATTCGAGTAGGTAGACAAAGTCGGCAAAATTAAAAAATTTCAAATCGTTCTGGAAAAATTATTTTTGATTGCAGAGGTCCATTAGAATCATTTTTGGTCAATCAACATACCACCGAAATCCTACTCAGTCTCGAGAAAAAAATTCATTACCAAAAATTTCATGTCTGACCATACCATTGATATGTTTCACTGAAATTTCATGAGTATGTTTAAAGCATCATAACTTCTGAACAGATTGGAGGATTTTAATGTTTCAACCGGCAAACAACGCGTATTTTAATGGAGAATATAGAGAAATTCTAAGAATATTGGTAAAATTATTCCTTGTCCCCGTAAAGTTAGAAAACCCCCATAAAACTGGTCCAGTTTTCAAACGGCCATAATTTCTACAATAGTCAATGGATCTCATTGAAATTTAGTCTGGAAGTAGGGCTCGTGGATACCTACAAAAAAGTATTAGACAACATTTCCGTACAGCGTCAAACAAATTTACTAGAAATCAAAAACGACTTTTTAAGAGAAACCGACAGGGTGTAGGTAGTAAATTTTTCGTCGAAATTGAAAAGTTTGAAATCGTTCTGAAAAAATTATTTTCGATTGCAGGGGTAAATTACAATCATTTTTGGTCAATACACATACCCCCAAAATCCTACGCACTTCCGAGAAAAAAATTCGAGTAGGTGGACAAAGTCGAGAAAATTAAAAAATTTCAAATCGTTCCGGAAAAATTATTATCGATTGCAGGAGTCAATTGCAATCATTTTTTATCAATACACATACCCCCGAAATCTTTCGCACTTTCGAGAGAAAAATTCTTTACTAACTTTTAACGAAGCCTTGATCAACAAATCAATATTCTTGATTTTCGTGTTATTTTGGCCTCTAAAATCTCCCATTAAATTTTTACCAGAGATGATCAAACACCCTGTACAACTGTTTTTTGATACGTGGTCTCGTATGGCTTTCAAAATAAACGGTGCAAGCGAGGACGTTTTATACAAGTTTTGCAAAAAAGTATGCCCCAAATGGGGGATGGAATTTTTTATAGAAACGTGTTGCGTACATAGTGGAAAGCGTACCCTTTCCAACGCAATTTGTTTCAAGTCGATATCTCGATCGGTTCCGGAGATACGGGGCTTCGAAGTCCGGGCTCGAAATGATCAATGGGACGTGGACTGAGATCCCTGGAACCGTGACCCAGATAATCTCCAGGAAATGCGTACGCTACACTACTACTGTTAGTAAACAAAAAATACGTGACTCGGCGCCTGTTACTGACCAGCGCGCACGTGACGAGCTTGGGCTAGGTCAGTGACAAGGCGCGACAGTAAGAGAGAGAGGTACGAGCTGCGCGACGGAGACGGACATACCGAAATATTAAAAATTATCCTTCCCTTTGCACGGCGATATCTCCGCAACGGAATATCGTATCGACATAAATCGAACGCCATTTAAAAGGAAAAGCTCTACTGTTCCCAGTTATGGCGATTAAACTGACAATGCACCAATAACTTTGGGACAACAATCGTTTAAATTTTTATTACTTTCAATACGATTAATATACAATATGTTATATATATGTATAATATTTACACTGTTGGTTAAAATTATGAGTTCAGTTCATTTCTGGCTGGTTTAATGTCATGGTTAGAACTATTGTGTTTTCTTTTTGCAACATTACCTATTTGCAGAGGGTAAAGTCATAAAAAAGAGTTTTTTAACATTTACAGAAACAACGAATCATTATTTTCAAGATTTATTTAGAAATTAATTATAATGAAAGTTGTTTTCAATATTCAGTAACTAATTCGTGAAGTTGGTTGATGAACCTTCGTTTTTATATTATTTAATATGTTTCTCAGTGGCATCTCATAAAGTTCCCTGATTATGCAATTCAAATTTCTTTGGTCTTCGAGAAAATTTAGAGAAATCTAGAGTAATTAATAACACTCCCCTAAAAAATATAATAAATAAATAAATACTGGAAGTATTACGGTATAATTATTTTTAAAACTGTATTATTTAGTATTGAATACACGTTTGAAAAAATAGTCATCACGTGATCGATATATTTAAAAAAAAATTGCATTATTTAATTCTAATTCGTAAATAATTCGTAATTTCTTCTCTTGGATCGTGAAATATTACTTGAAATCAATATTTCGATACTTATAAGCTCCGAAATTCTGAAATTGAAAATTTAAACGTCACTCGTTCACGAATGACCTTTCCACCCTGCACGAATTAAAATTCATGTATCAATTGTAAATGAAATTCGCGTGGCGGTCAATGTATTAATCAAAATCCTGCAATATTAATACTACTACCGAACTGCGGATGTTTATACAAGTATTATGCATGCAAATACGTAAACTTATGCGAAACGTAGACAAGAACTGAGGAGATGCACATATATGCAAAATGTGTGGAGATATACATATAAAATGTGTGCACTTGTTCAAATTCACATTAGTCACAATACATACGAATATCTGATGGTTTTTATGTAGCTGGCGACAATTTTTCAATCGAAGGTCATCTCAAAGTCATAGTCAAGGTCATTCATAAAAAACTGTTTTAATTACACATCTTAATACGTTGCAATAATGAAAGTTTTAAAATTGCATTCTGCTACAATTGTAAAATTTTCTATATTGCACAAACAGATCTAGAGTTTTATAGTTTAATTGTAACATTTTTAATGAGAAAATTGTCTATTTTCACGTAAATATTTCACAGATCTTCGAAACGTTGCTTCGACAGATTACTTTCGTTAAAATTCGTGCAATCAATAAATTTAATGTTAAAAATGATAGAAATTGGTCAGGAAGTAGCTTTCCTAGAAATGAGTGTAACTTCGTTATTTTTACAACTTGTCTTTGCAGACATATTTTCAACGATATTTTCATATTTTCAAACTTCAAAAAGACGTCAAAAAAAGGTTGATTCTTTCGACGTGGATCACTAGAAGGCCCTCTTAACGTGACTGTAAACGCGTTTCGATAAAAATTCGTGCAATCAATAAATCTTGTGATAAAAATGATAGAAATCAGTAAGGAAGTAGCTTTCCTAGAAATGACTGTAACTTCGTTATTTTTACAACTTGACTTCACAGACATATTGTCAATGTTCCAAACTTTAAAACGACGCCAAAAGAAGGTTGATTCTGTCGCCGTGGATCACTGAAAGACCCTCTTAACACATTGACTGCCCACATATGATTGACACGACTTTTCATCAAGGAGTTAAAAAAATTAATTCCCAAGATTAAATATAAAAGAAAATAAAGCTAGGTGGGGCCCTTGAATTCTAACGAGTCTGTGAAAATAAATTCCATGACAAATTCTTGGTATGCTAGTTTCCAATTGTCTAACAACAAAATTTAATTTTCTTTTTAACTTGAGGGGTTTGGTCTGGCAGTCGAAGTGTTAAAGCAACAACTGTCAGTATGACGGGTTTCGTTAAAAATTCGTGCAATCAATGTCATTAAATCCAGTGAAAGAGCTAGGAGGAAGTAGCTTCCTATGATATTTATCAAAATTGTAGCTTGCAATCGATGAAAGTAATCCGATTGTCCCGATCTCTGGTGCAACGTCCCCCAGATTCCCCGACGAGTAGAGTGCTAAAGACAAAAGCTGGTTTGTTTGTTGCGACAACAGTGGTGCCTGACTCGACGACGACGAGCCCGACGGACCCGTTGGACCCACTGAGCAGCCTGATGTCCGGCACGCCGAGCCAGAGGTACCAGGACTACGTGTCGCCCAGGTCCCTGTCGACGGACTCGAGCACCACCGAGAGCCCCGTGCACGAGGAACAGGCCTTCGGGCAGAACTACGGCAACTACTTCCCGTCGCCCGGGGTGCTGCCCAGCATCCTCTACTCCCAGCTGTACAGCAATCAGTTCCAGAACTCGGAGAGCCCGGAGCAGAGAGCGGTCGCGGACAGCTGTAGCGTCAGACAGGAGGAGGTCAGACCGGACAACAACGTCTGGAGACCATACTGATACCAAGAGTCTGGTACATCGAACCAGCCTCTCATGTAAGGTGTTAACCGTGGGTTCCTTGAACAAAGAGGATCGTGGGACGCCGTCGATCGGCAAACTGTGATTGGTGCGACGTGTTGGCTCGGCCACCGAGCGAAACTAGCTACTAGTGGGCATTAAAAACGAAGGAGAAAAGATTGACAGAGACACACGCGGGTCCGGGTGCGCGGTTCGAACGGCGATTTTAACGTCGCGAGCGTTCTCGGTTCGATCACGGCCGGATCGTTCTCCGCTGGTTGTGTCTCGACGAATCATTAGAGCGGGCTGATTTCTAGTTAAGCGTGAGTACGGGTCCTGTGTGCAATGCCGGAGTGTGTGGGTACGCGTGGCCCACGGTGATGGTGACGATGATGATGTATATAACACTGTACATAGATAGAGCATTGTCGTTTCATCGAGTCGTTCATCACTGTCGACGGACTACGCGAAGCGCGACGAATCGGGCCTGGGACGTTTCGAAGATGGCTGGCCAAACTTCGGGGCGACGCAAGGTACGGCTTAGTGCGACAAAAATATCTAATTAAATATTACCGTGTCACAGGGTCGACATCATATTCGATTATTATTCGTTTCTGTCGAATTATTTGCTCGGCTCGAAACCGAGGGAATACGAACTGTCTTTTGGACGAAGCTGATCTTTCTATTCTTCCGGTTGTTATCTTTTCTTAAAATTCTGTTTGTAATTACTGTGGATCTTCATGCAAATTTATATTTTTATCAATAGAATTGATGAAATGGTAGATTTGTAGAGCTTTCTCAACCCCTAAATATAATAATTTGTATCTTACTTTAAATATTTATTATATTTAGGGGCTGAGAAAACTCTACAAAGCTACCATTTCATTAATAAAAATATGAATTTGCATAGAGATCCGCAGTCTAGTCATATTGGCGTAATCGTATTTCTATCGAATCATTTGTTCGGTTCAAACTGAGAGAATACGTGACTTTTGGACGAAGCTGATTTTTTTATGCTTCCAGTTGTTACCTTTCTTTTCAATTTTAATTATAACTACTCATATTTTTATTAATAGAAGAATTAAGTCGAGCGCTTGTGAGAGCGCGACCCCTCTGGTGGCGAGCGTGGGAGGCAACATTCCTAATTTTATGTCTTTTAGCTTCATTCGAATCTTGACTACTCGATTTACTTGCAATTCATACAATTTTTCACTTGAATTTAAGAAATTATTCCATCAGTTGCAGCAAGTAAAATTAGCAATAAAAATTCTACCAATTCGTAAATCTACTTACCACCATTATTAATTTCGAAATGAATCATTCATAATTAAATGATGAACGATATTTTGACAAATTCTTCAAAACAATAAAGATCAATTAACTACTTATGCAAAGTAGGTTAGGAAGAGTAATTCTATAAATAATATAAATATAGAATTTCTATTGCTAATTTCATTTACTCTAAATAAATAACGATAGTGTATTTACTTATTAATGAATTTTGATTTCTCTTCACAGTCTTGTTTTCACACTTTGCAGCAGAAATAAGCACATAAACTTGTTCGAGGGAAAGAAAATTTACAGATTCTCATAACATAATAAACAAATGATTAGGACCCATTTAAAGCTCAGGATGTATTAATTCTTTTATTTTTTTTTAATATGATAACTCGAAGCTTCGAAGATGCAGCTTCGTTCGAAGAATGGTTCGTATTCGCTTAGTTTTTGTCCGACAAATATTTCCCCAGACATTTATAATAATTCTGGACGATTTGATCTTGTTGTACACGAATACTTGGTTTTATATTTCTGTCCCGCTGGGTCGAATTATGCGACGTTTCGGTCGATTTGTGCACCGGAAATTCAACGAGCTATCGTGATTTTGATTGTTGATCGTCGATGGAATCGGTAGAGATTCTTGTTCTCGGCGATTTCGTTCGATTTGTATGGGTTTCGGGGATTCGAACGCTTTTTAAAATTCGCATTGATCACGAACACTGCCAACAGAACAGTAATTCTAGCTTTCGAGTGACAAAATTGATCCAAAACGATCAGAACAGCGCAAGCATAGTAACTTTATTAAACATCCCCTTTTTCAGGTCTTCTTTAATATAAAATGATCGTCCAAAGATCGAACAATTGTAATTATCGATGAGAAATTTAAATTATATATCACTTGAAGAAAGGAAAGTTGTTCGATATTTCAAGTTACCAAAACAACGCTTTTTACGAATTAAAACGAAGCATCAGGACGAAACATTTAATAAATTTAAACTCTGCTTAGACTGTTACGATCGTATTGGATTAATTTTCTGTTATAATAAACGTTAGTTATTCTTTATTCGAGTGATAAATTCAGGGTGGCCAATTCCCTTGAAAGGAGGGTAGATTTTTAACTCGAGGAGATAGTTCAGGATACGTGAAAATTAAACTGTTAGGGGCAATTTTTAGTGATATGAATCGTCACTCGAAAGTGAGAATTACCACGAATGCTAATTGTTCACGGAAAACAACGGGAATAATCGAGATCGTGCAAAACGTTGACTTCGAAAGGCTAGGAATGCCCCAAAATGGAGACGAAAGAAGTAAGTAGAGTTGCACTTACTGTACTGATAATTATTAGGATATTCTGGAAAATATTGCGCATTTTGGTCACTATGTTTCCTAGTTATTTTTACGAAAATATAACAGGCACTTATTTAGTTTACTTTCAAAGCTTTAAACTTTACTCTGATCTGTTGTAATTAAATTTTGTGTGACAGAGAAATGCAATTACTTCTCACACGATGGCAAAAAACCATAAATCATCGTGTTTGGAATAATACCCATTTTTCGTCCTCTAACTCTTTATAAATTCTATTTCAGTCTAATTTATTAACGAAATCGAGTCTCTTCAATTTATTTTCCAACTTAAAAATTTTCAAAAGGAATTTTCTACCAACAACGAAGGATTAATAAATTTTAGTTTCGAAATGCGCAAGATTCTCCGGTCTTCTCTAACACATCCAACAACATGAACTCTGATCTACCGATTCCAACGTCGAGTATCGTAGTTTATCGTTTGTTTCTACGATTTCTACGATTAAAGGTACATAAAATAAACGCTCGGTAGCTTTCCTCGAGAGCGAACTTCCGGTACGAGAACACCGTTCGCGTTTGAAGTTGTTTCTCTCGCGAATAAAAAAAAAAAACCCCCCAACACATATTCGGTGAGAAACTTAATTACGAGGCAGCCTATATTTTCTGGGCAGCATCCAAAGTTTGGCCGACCGTCCAATGAACGCCCGCCGCGCCTTCTACCTTTCGATTATGTTTTCATAGTATAACGCGATCGATTCGACTGCGGGCTCGTGCAATATCGCGTCGCGGTTCACGTCGGAACGCGCGATGCTTCGCCAATCGGCGGGAATCGTGTCGCGACGATATAAGAGACGGAAAATGGAATCGAAAATACCCGCTGAAAAGCTTGTTCGCGATTCAACGAAGAAGTGTTCCGTCGTCGCGGCAGCGCCGGAACGCTTTCACATCGAAATTAACCCCCCCTCCGCGAAACGAAACCGAAAACGCGTACGATCGCGTCGGCGACGATTTTGTTCGTTTCTTTTTTTCTCCATCGCCGCGCCGACGACGAACATTCCCTCCCCCCAAACTCCCCCCCAAGAATGATTTCCGATATACATATCTACCGACCTATTGTTATCGTAGTTTTTGACCGAGTCGAAATAAAAACTGTATTTCAAAATATGATCGTCGACGTGTCCATTACTGTTCTCCCAACGCTACCCCATTCCCTTCGTCTTCTTACAGTGAATTTCGAGAGTTTTCAATTCTTTTTATTCGATTATTAAATTGAACATTGATGAGAAGATCGATATATAAAACCTCTTCAACCCTTGTGAAAATCTTTTAGATTTCATTGAAATTTATATATAAGGTTTATTAGAATTTATTGGAATACTATTTATTTGTTTTATTATAGAAGTTCCTGGTTATCTAAGAGATTCTGAGAATTTTATTGCAGCAAAAATGGTTCCTTTTATATTTGATTTTGATCGTTTTCAATTTTCTTTTTATTCGATTATTAAATTGAACACTGGTGGAAGGATCGATATACAAACCCTCTTCAACCCTTGTGAAAATCCTTTAGATTTCTTTGAAATTTATATATAAGGTTTATTAGAATTTATTGGAATACTATTTATTTGTTTTATTATAGAAGTTCCTGGTTATCTAAGAGATTCTGAGAATTTTATTGCAGCAAAAATGGTTCCTTTTATATTTGATTTTGATCGTTTTCAATTTTCTTTTTATTCGATTATTAAATTGAACACTGGTGGAAGGATCGATATACAAACCCTCTTCAACCCTTGTGAAAATCCTTTAGATTTCTTTGAAATTTATATATAAGGTTTATTAGAATTTATTGGAATTCTATTTATTTGTTTTATTATAGAAGTTCCTGGTTATCTCAAAGATTCTGAGAATTTTATTGCAGGAAAAATAGTTCTTTTTATATTTGATTTTGATTGTTTCCAATTTTATTCTTTTTTTGTATTCGATCACTAAATTGAACACTGACGAAAAGATCGATATACAAACCCTCTTCAACCCCTGTGAAAATCCTTTAGATTTCATAGAAATATATATATAAGGTTTATTAGAATTTATTGGAATACTATTTATTTGTTTCATTATTATTATACGAATTCATGGTTATCTAAGAAACTCTGAGAATTTTATTGCAGGAAAAATAGTTCTTTTTATATTTGATTTTGATTGTTTCCAATTTTCTTTTTTTTCTTTTACTTGTTCATTAAATTGAACATTGATGAGAAGATCGATATACAAACCCTCTTCAACCCCTGTGAAAATCCTTTAGATTTCATAGAAATATATATATAAGGTTTATTAGAATTTATTGGAATACTATTTATTTGTTTCATTATTATTATACAAGTTCCTTGTTATCTAAGAGACTCTGAGAATTTTATTGCAGGAAAAAT